ATTCCCCTGATTCGATTCTTAAGGCGCCTCTAAAAACGTTATGGCCGTGAATCTCTTTGTGTAGGTGTAGTTTTACGTATCAGGAATTACCCCTGATTCACGCACGTGACTGTACAGGATGGGATAGCGTTGAAGGGAGCTCAGCGCCTCATCTCGCTGTTCCTCCTGGATCACTCCTTTCACAACGAACCGTTGAAGGATCACCCCTTCGCTCCCCTGCTGCTGCATGTGAGTTCATCCCCCTTGTTTCCTTCTCATTGCCCATTGCGATATTCCTCCTGGATCACTGCTTTCACAGCGAGCCGTTGAAAGACCACCCCTTTGCCCACCCTGCTGCTACACGTGAGACTTCCCCGGTCGCCCCCCCTTGCTGCTACCCGTGAGGTTCTACTCCCTCGCCTCCACTTGCTGCTGTGTCCTTCTGATTGTTCATCTCGCTGTTCCTCCTGGATCACTCCCTTCACAACGAACCGTTGAAGGATCACCCCTTGCTCCCCTGCTGCTGCATGTGAGTTCATCCCCCCTGTTTCCTTCTGATTGGTCATCTTTCTGTTCCTCCTGGATCATTCCTTTCACGACAAACCAATGAGGGACCAACTCTGCTGGATGTGGGACTGTCGTTCACAGCCTGTGCCTCCTGTCGGTGCCTCTGCCTCCTTCGATCAATGTACATGCATTTGTTCTCCTTCTCTCCACATGTCAACATCGTGTCAGCATCTTAACGTGTCAGCATCTCAACGAATTAAAGGCACTCCGGTATTCCCCTCCATCCCCCAGGTGGCATCAGAGGCATCCCTGCCGGCCATAGAGCGCTGCTGCGCCCTCAACCTGCTCTCACACCCTCCACCCCACTTTGGTGGCATCCCCAGTGGGTTCGAAAGTCTCATTGGGTCTCAAAGAAATTCCTTGTTACCCCTACTGATATCCCAGGTGGCATCAGAGGCATCCCTGCCGGCCATAGAGCGCTGCTTCGCCCTCAACCTGCTCTCACACTCACTTGCGGATGTAAGTCCGCACAAGTCGATTTCTGAGTTGACTTAGAAAGTCCGCAAGAGTTACATCCGTCCGCAAGAGAGCACACGAGACGGATGTAACTTCTGTGCCCATGTGCTCTCTGCCGTAACTTCTGTACCCATGTGCTCTCTGCCGTAACTTCTGTACCCATGTGCTCTCTGCCTTAACTTCTGTACCCATGTGCTCTCTGCCTTAACTTCTGTACCCATGTGCTCTCTGCCTTAACTTCTGTACCCATGTGCTCTCTGCCGTAACTTCTGTACCCATGTGCTCTCTGCCTTAACTTCTGTACCCATGTGCTCTCTGCCTTAACTTCTGTACCCATGTGCTCTCTGCCTTAACTTCTGTACCCATGTGCTCTCTGCCTTAACTTCTGTGCCCATGTGCTCTCTGCCTTAACTTCTGTGCCCATGTGCTCTCTGCCTTAACTTCTGTGCCCATGTGCTCTCTGCCTTAACTTCTGTGCCCATGTGCTCTCTGCCTTAACTTCTGTGCCCATGTGCTCTCTGCCGTAACTTCTGTACCTCTGCCGATGTCTGTAACCTTGTGTGCCGTCTCAAGCCTTGTCATTTGTGTACTTCCCTCTCTTGTCATCCACCCACCCTCTCTTTCCCTCACATCCCACTATCCCATTGTTCCACTCTCTCACCCATTTACCCGCCCACTCACCCTCTCAACCACTCACCCTCTCTCCCACTCACCCTCTCTCCCACCCACCCACTCTCGTCGTCCAATCGGCCACTCTGAACTCCTTTTTAGGTGCCCAGTAAGTCAGCTCGGGACTATATGCAGCACTTCAAACCGCCCAACCAGGTGTGTGCGTGTGAGAGGGTGTGTGTGATGGTGGGGGGGGGGGAGAGGGACTGCTATGCCTGTATTGTCACAACTTCCTCTCAGGTGCCCAGCAAGTCAGCTCGGGACTATGTGCAGCACATTAAATCGCCCAACCAGGTGTGTGGTAGAGGGAAGTCGGAGAGAAGGATAGCGTGTGTTGGGGTGAGTGGGAGTGTTTGGGTGAGAGGGAGAGATTGTGTGTAGTGTGTGTGTGTGCGTGCGTGTGTGTGGGTGTGTGTGTGTGTGTGTGTGTGTGTGTGGTGTATATGTGTGTGTGTGTGTCTGAGTGTGTGGTGTGTTTCATTGTGTGTGTGGATGGGTGGGTGCGAGGGTGTGTGCCTCTGTTTGTGAGTGTGCGTGCGTGTGGGCGTGCATGCATGTATGGGGCACTGCTGTTTCTTCTGTGCTTCGTGTGTGATACTGCTGAACTCACAAACTAGTCTCTCTATCCCTTGTTCGACCTTACTTCTCACACCCTCACCTCCAATTTGATCCCTGACCCTTACCCTGAAATTTGAACCCTGATTCTTACCATGAATCTTCAGACCTGAACCTCAAGGGCCGTGCCTTGAATCTCAGCCATGACCATAAGCCTGGATGTTGGAATACTGGCTCATCATACTGTGTAGCATTTCTGAGGCGCCTCAAAACGACTTTTAACTTTTGAGGCGCCTCAAAACGACTTTTAACTTTTGAGGCGCCTCAAAACGACTTATGACTTTTGAGGCGCCTCAAAAGGGCCGGGCCTTGAACCCCAACCATGACCATAAGCCTGGATGTTGGAATACAGGTTCATGTACCCATTGGAATACATGTAGCATTTCTTCCCCTTCCCGTCTGGGTCGCTTGTGAATAATTCAGAAGATGTGTAAGGGAGCTTGTGTATAAATCTCCCTTGTGTATCATTACTTCCCTTACCTTGTGCAGCTCCCTTCGCGTGAAGCCATCTACAAGGCACACCCCGACATCAAACCCTCGTTTTCCTCTTCACGCTCCGCCACATCCTCTGCTTTCAAAGCTTCTCCCTCCTTTACTTCATCATCATCATCTGCCCTATTTCCTTCCACTGGGCTCAGTGGTTGCAATGCATTCAAAGCAGCAGCAGTACCACGTGTGCTTAAGTGCTCCAAACGCACTGTGACTGAGTGTGTGCAAGCACAGACAGCACAGCAAGCAGGAGCGCCAGCAGCATTGGCATCTCAGGGGTCAAAACAGCTTGAGGAGAATAGAAGTGGCAAGACTCCTGGGCATGGGACAGCAGTATCACCAGCATTGGCAGCATCGGCAGTATCTGTAGCGTCGTGCATTCAGCTGCTACAGCTGGGAGGAATGGGAGGGTTCGAGCCTCCTTGGATTCGACCTCTGCCGCCCCTGCTGCCCCCGCAACCAGGCGAGGTATGGTGAAGGCAGGTCTGGTGAAGACAGGTATGGTGAAGGCAGGTATGGTGAAAGCAGGTATGGTGAAGGAATGTACGGTGAAGGCAGGTACGGTGAAGGCAGGTACGGTGAAGGCAGGTATGGTGAAGGCAGGTACGGTGAAGGCAGGTACGGTGAAGGCAGGTACGGTGAAGGCATGTACGGTGAAGGCAAGGTATGGTTCTGGTCAAGGTGAGGTACGGTGAGGGCAAGGTGCAGTGACGATGAGGTACAGTGAAGAACGAAAAATGAGGCAAGGTATTTTCTTCTTCTTTCTTCCCCCCCCCCCCCCCTCCTCCCCAGATGGATGGAATTGTGGAAGATTTTCCATCAGAAGAAGCATACGCAGTAGCTTCATCAGCAGGACCGTCAGCAGCAGTAACACAATCTTCTGCTAAACCAGCAGCAACAGCAGTAGCAGGCACCACTTATGCTACTCAACAAAGGCTGGGAAGAAGTCAGAGCGTAGTAGAAAATATTCAGTCAGAAGGGCGCAGGGAAGGAGACGGAGCAGGGGAGTTGGAAGAGGGAAGAGGAGGCATGGCAGAGGGAGTGAGAGATGGAGAGGGTGGCAGGCGTGTTGGTGGGGGTGGGGCGGGGTCCGAGGGGGAGAGGGAGGGGGAAAGGGAGGGAGGAAGAAGGGGAGAGGGAGAGGGAGGGGGGAGTGTAGAGTTTCAGTTGATGCAAAAGGCATTGGAAGGTCCGCTCATGCCCAATCATCAGCAGGTGAGGCTGACTCAGCAGCAGGTGAGGCTGACTCGGCAGCACATAAGCCGGACTCAACAACAGGTTAGGCTGACTCAGCAACAAATGAGCCTGACTTGGCTCTGTCTGAGTAAGCAGCAGTTGAGGATGTCGTGGCACCCTCCAATAAGCTCGTGGTTCCGTCGAAAAAGTGAATCCAAGGGGAGAAAGTTAGACGGGAGTGGGTTCGAGGGGAGTGGGTTCGAGGGGAGTGGGTTTGAGGGGAGCGGGTTCGAGGGGAGTGGGTTCGAGGGGAGCGGGATCCAAACACACTCCCTTCAATCCCACTCCCCTCGATCCCACTCCCTTCGATCTCAGTCCCCTCGATCTCACTCCCCTCGAACTCGTTCCTCTCGAACCCTATCCACTCAAACCCGCTCCCCTCGAACCCGCTCCCCTCGAACCCACTCCCCTCGAGCCCACTCCCCTCGAGCCCACTCCCCTCGAACCCACTCCCCTCGAACCCACTCCCCTCGAACCCACTCCCATCTGATTCCCTCCCCTTGGACTCACTCTCCACAGACGCACTTCCCTCAAACCCGAAGGGCGAAGGGATCTATTTTTCAATCAGTGTGCCTGCTGATCCTTCAAATGGGTCTGCACAATCCGTTTTCTTTACTGATTCGATTTAAGAATAGACCCCTCCAAAGGGTCGTCAAAATCCCTTGAACTTCATTTGGCCCTTCCCCCTTTCCCCACCGTTCATTTCTTTCCACCCCTTCAACATGAGCTCCTCTCTCTTCTCCGCCAACCCATAGAAATGACTAATGAGATCCGTAGAATTCTCATACGTGTATTTTTTTTTTTTGGCTTCCACCCCCAACCCTTCCAACAGGAGCTCCTCTCTCTTCTCTCCGCCAATCCGTCTCTCATCACCGCATGTGGCCTGCAACCCTTGACCCTGCCCGTACGTGCCTCCCGTCTAATGCGCCTAAATCGTTCAGGTCTTGACTCAGCCTTTGCGATGCAGACCCTCTTCGCTCCGCTTATCCATGTTCGCCCCTCTCCCTCCCCTCTCCTCTCTCCCCGTTCTTTTGGAACACAATCCTGACATCGCTGTATGTGTCCTCCCTCATCCTCCCTCGCACTCCCTCTTCGTGCTTCATCTATCCCTCTCCCTCTTTCCCATTTTTGTTATCTTCCTCTATCCCGCTCCTTCCTTCCCCTCTCTCCTCCATCACTCTTCCCCCAGCCTCTAGTGAAACACCATCCAGACATTGCTGCATGTGCTCTCCGTCTCACTTCCTCCCTTTTCCTCCTCCCTTTGTTCCCCTCTCTTTCTCTCCATCCTCCCTCTCTCACCCCCAGCCTCTAGTAGAACACAACCCAGACATTGCTGCATGTGCGCTTACTCTGCTGCTGGCATCTCAGCCGGCTTTCGAGTAAGGGGAAAGGGCCACCACATGGAATGGAGGAGATTTTCGGAATGGCAAAGGCTGTGGATGGTTCAATGCTTTTGAGTCGCCGCTGCATGTGCTTTCAGTCTACTGCTAGCATTGCTACCAGCTTCCGAGTAGGCAGGGGAGAGGGGTCTCAAACGGAATGGCAGAAAGCATGGAATGGCAAAGGCTGTCGATGGTTCACTCAATGCTGTTGTGCTGCATGTGCATGTGCATGTGCACGACGTTATTCTGCGACTTTCGAGATGTTTCAAAAGGCTGTGGATGGTTCACTCAGTACTGTTGTGCTGCTGCATGTGCTCTCTCGACTTGACAGCCCAAGGTTGTGGTGCATGACTTCATTCTGCGTGTGCTCTCTCTCTCAGCTGCCCCTTAACCTTTCATTGTATTGGTGTGCGTTGTGAAATCCTCCACAATACATACACCCACAATCCCCTTACAGCCACTCCCACAGGTACCTGGAGGTGTTGCCTCAGCTGTCCCTGACGCTCCACTCACTGGAGGTTGTGGGGCGCGTGGCCATGGCTGTTGACTTGCCACTCCCTGTCCTTGACTTCAACCTCCTTCCTCTTTCGCCGATTCCACCACAGGTACCTGGAGGTGTTGTCTCAATTACCCCTCACCCTGCACTCACTCGAGGTGGTGAGCCGAGTGGCAAAGGCCGTTGACTTGCCGCCCGATTTCATCCACTCATACGTCAGCCACTGCATGCGGTGCTGTGAGGAGACCAAGGTGGGTCAAACGGTATATTTGAGTATAATATTAATTCCTAAAAGTTGCTTGCTGCCCGATTTCATTACTTGCGGCCCGATTTCATCCACTCATATGCCAGCCACTGCATGCGGTGCTGCGAGGAGACCAAGGTGAGTTCAACTTGCTATTTCTGTACAAGCCTACTTAGGCGGGCTTTAAGTTTGGTGTAATATTGTCTGCTGTCCAGTCTATCTATTCATTAGTATGGCAGCCACTGCATGCGACGCTGCGAGGAGACCAAGGTGGGTCCAACCAATGGGGGCTGAGGCGCCTAAAAATTTGCGGGATAAGAGACGACTTCTGAGGCGCCTCAATGGGGGTTGAGGCGTCAAGGTTAGGGAGTTTGTGCTGAGTGAGTGTGATGTTTGTGAGTGAGTGTGATGTTTGTGAGTGTGATGTTTGTGAGTGAGTGTGATGTTTTTGAGTAAGTGTGATGTATGTGAGTGAGTTTGACGTATGTGAGTGAGTGTGATGTTTGTGAGTGAGTGTGATGTTTGTGAGTGAGTGTGATGTATGTGAGTGAGTGCGAAATGAGCGGTTGTGTGGGGAGTGAGGTGAGCGATTTTCAAGTGAGCGCAGTTGTGAATTGAGTGAGTGAGAGGTGACTGATTGATAGGTGACTGAGTGAGAGGAGACTGAGTGAGAGGTGAGCGAGTGTGACGTGCAAGTGCAAAGTGAGTGAGTGTGTGTGGTGAGAAAGTGCAAGTCTAAGGCTGTGCCCTTTTGTGTCCCAACCAATCCAACCGAACTCACTCCATACATGCAGGATAAGAGCATGCAGAATCGCCTTGTGCGGATCGTTTGCATCTTCCTACTGAGTCTCATCCGCGATAACATCATCAATGGTACACCCTCAGAGACATTATTCCTTACGCATGCAATTTTTATTCAATTTACCTCAATTGGCTTTCTTTGGCCACAACCCCAGTGGAGCCGCCTCTGTTTTCCTCCACAAATGTGTAGCTAATCATTTCTGTTAACCGATTGCGTTTACGGTATACGAATGTCATTTGCAACCCCATTTTCCATGTGGCAGTGGAGGCGCTTTTCATTGAGATGCAGGCATTCTGTATCGAGTATTCGCGGGTCAGGGAAGCAGCAGCCCTCTTCCGCATGCTCAAATCCCTCGAGTGACATCTCATGCAAGCCACGAGTTAGAAGTTGATTTTTTAGATGTCTCAAAAAGGAAGCAGCAGCCCTCTTCTGCATGCTCAAATCCCTCGAGTGACATCTCCTACCATATATGCCTCTCAAATATCATGCGATTGGCTCAGATCATATTGGTTGACTGATGCATTGTATAGTCACTTGTTCCCCAAACTGTGTTTGCACGAGTTGTGCAAGACACGTGTTGTGTGATCCCTGAGACTTTACACCAAGCAGTAAGTATTATGTAGAAGTGATGGAAAAAAGAGTTTACACAAGCGTGTAGGTAAGAACCTGATGAGTATGGTCTCAAAGACAGCAAATATGCAGCGGATGTAAGCCCCCTGACTCTCCATACCCTGTATCAGCCTAGCAGCAAGAGCCAGTGAGGTATGAAGTTCATGGCATTGACACATGGAATGGTCGCTTCGCAAGGCTATATACATCAAGCATCCCATCCCAGGTGGGACAGACAGCTAGGCAGGTGACTACTGCTGTCTTCTATTGCAGGTGACTCCGCAATTTCAGGTCAGTCCAGAGGTTGGACCAACAATTTCTAATGCAGATCAACTACACTTCTAAGCTAACAGACGGTACCCGTATCATGCTTTTATAGCTTCCTACTTGGGCAACCTCGTTCCAGCGGGAACTATGACCTTATCCACTCCGTGAGCGATAAAATACGGCCCAGCGTAAATCCTCATGATCTTGATCGTCGTCCACGTGGCAGCAGGCGCTTTCGGACCCCTGGCGAACGACACGACGTTCGCACCTTTGGCCGAGATCTTGTACAGAGCCTGCTTTAACTGAGTACGGAGCGGCTGCGCTTGCTTGAAGGCCTTGAAATTCGGAACGGTGTATTTTTTGGCGATGATGTGGTACGCCGTGATGTTGTAGACGGTGGGGATGTTGGCTTTTGTAACGGGAAGCTTCTTAGCGAGGGCTTCGGCTTCTGCGTTGCTGGGGAGGAGGATGGTGGCATCCGCGAGGGCTGAAAAATCGTATCTGGAGTTGAGCGCGAGGCCGATGTACTTGTTGATGTCCTTGGCGTATTTCGCGTACTGCGGGTAGCGTTTCGTGATGGTGGTCGCCATTTTGTTTAGCTCCGCTTTGAGCTGCGCCTTGGTAGGCTTGGCTTTGGGCTTCGTTTGTGCGTTCGCGCCAGCTACGCATAGGGCGACGCAAATGATCCCGAGGACAAGAATGGCTCGAAGGTTAGCCATCGCTCGGCGAGAAGGAACGAATTGTTGAAGTTAGCAGTCCTAGGATCGAATCTAAGAATGTTGTCGAGATAAGACGCTAGATTCTGGAAGCGTCTTCGGATGAGCGAAATTCGGGTAGAAGGAAATGAGAGCTTGATGCTTGACTTGGAGATTGATTGTGAGTCTGTGAGTGTTCGTAAGGGTCGTCGGTGTATGTATTAGTAGTTTCTATTGGAGTGAATGTGCAGAGGGGAGGGGAGGTAGTTCCAAGGTAGCGGACATGGTTTGAAGAAAGGCGGTGCTGCAGCACGCACGGCAGTCAACCTGGGTTGACGCGGCGAAACGGGAGTTTTCGCAGGCAGTGGAGTCGGTGTACACATGTTGCTCAACTGCTGCGCTCGAATTTGCCCTGCACGCGCCAGAAACTCTGCGCGCGTGTATTTTGGCCCAGCCAGCTGCACCCACGTTATAGGCTCCCGGTGCCACTTGGGCAAGTGGTCACCACACGACGAAAGCTGCCCATGCGTATGAGTCAAATGTGGTCGTCCCTTACCATTCTTGTTTTCAGGCCAAAAACAGGCGTCGCGAAAACCGTGGTCGAAACTAAAATGACGTCGCGCACTTCTTCGCTGCCTGACTGTACGCCACGTCGGTGCGGCGCAATGTGCACCAAACGCACACATTGCACTCATCGGCGCCACGTGTACGTTGTGCAGCCAGATCGTAGCCACGTATTGACCATGAAATGAACACAAAACCCACGTCACTAAATGAAATGAATTGGACATTCGTGTCCGTTAAACACACATTTACGGCGACATTCACGCTCTAGCGCATAGACACTGGCACTATGAACTAACCATGATCGTTAAAAACGCGTCACCCCGTGTGGTATGGAGTGATCCCTTTATGTTATACGCACCCTTTTTGGCCATACACATTCCCACAATGTTGGATAAGCCAATTTTGTGCGTTTCAACAGCTGTTTGCTTAGAGCCAAACGAGCAACACAATGTGAGGATAAAATCACATTCGCTCGAGCTACTAAGACATTGTTCTCACCACCTTCACTCACCATGCCGCGCCTAATGCGCCGCTCCCAGCTTCCAGTCCACATCAAAAGGGCGATATGCGAGCATCACGTTAGCAACCCCCGTTTGCGCCATGTCGACCTTGCGCGCTGGTGTTTCACTCGTTTCGGTATTCGCCCCGACCGCTCCACGATTGGCCGCGTCATCAAGGGCGCGGAGCGGTGGAAAGCCACCAATGCGAACAACAGTACCGTTCGCGTACGCGGCGGTGCTCATCCGGACCTCGAGCAGGCCATGGTCCGATGGATCTCCAACGCCGGACCTGCGGGGATTCCGCTCACCTTGGCGACCATCCGCGACCACGTGGCCGTGATGGCACGCGACATGGGCAAGCCGCCCACCTTCCGCTGCTCTGTCGGGTGGGTTTGCCGTGCTATGCGGCGCAACGGCATCCGCTGCATTGCTTCGTCGGGCGAGGCCGCCGATCAGGACATGGCGGCGGTGCGAACGTGCCGTGAGAAGCTTCCTCAGCTTCTCATGTACCATTCCGTCTCGCCGAAGGATGTGTACAACTTCGACGAGACGGCGCTGTGGATTTCGGTGCTGCCGCGAAAGACCTACGGCGCATCGCGCGTGGCGGGCCGCAAAATCGCCAAGGAACGCCTCACCGTGGGCCTGCTCGTGAATGCGGACGGAAGCCACGCGTTCCGGCCGCTCGTCATATCCAAGTCGAAGCGGCCCCATGCGTTCCGTCCGGATTACGACCCCGACGCTGTGTGCTACTGGCGCCACAACACCAAGGGGTGGATGACCGCTCCGGTAAGCGCCTTCCATCTAGGACGCACGCCCGTTAATTTTGCGTAAGGTGTAGTTACTATGTCTGGCCGACCTAGCCATAGTCGAACGGGCAATCTCACTCACTTTGATTCTCTCCCACCCCACTTTTGTTCCCGCGGCAGCTGTTCATCCATTTTATGGAGCAGCTAGATGCTGCTATGTTTGCGGAGGATCGCAACATTGTCATCCTCCTCGACAATGCCTCTAGCCACGCACTCAAGAGCGAGCACGCGGTTTCCGAAGACATCTTCGGCTTCCGCACTCGCTCCCTCCGCAACATCCGCCAGGTGTTCCTCCCGCCGAACACCACCTGCTTCACCCAGCCGCTTGACCAGGGCCTCATCGCGATGATGAAGGCACGTTATCGTCAGCATTGGCTCGAGGCGATGACGGCACTGGGGGTGGAGGGCGGCTCCACGGCGTCTCTGGCGCGCTTCAAGCCCAATCTCCGCGACGTCCTTCACTGGCTCTTGGACGCGTGGATGAACATCGGCCCGCGCACGATCCAGCGTTGCTGGTGGCGCACGGGCTGTCTTCCGCTCGCGTGGGCCTTATTCTTGGCCCACGTGGGCGCCGGCGGGCTCACTCCTGGCGGCACGGTTGCTGCTCCGCTGCCCATCGATCTTGACGAGGAGATCGGCGACGTGGGCATCATGATCGACCGGCTTGCGCTCGGTCCGAGTGCCATGCCGGTCGCCGACTTCGTCGCCATTGATGACGGCCAGCCGACGTGCGCCGAGCCGGGGGAGGATCCCCTCGCCCTTGAGCCCGCGACCTCGTATTCGAACGAGTCTTGGGAGCCGCCTGCGACTATGCAGGCCGTGTACGACGATGTGGACCCGGCGACGCGCGAAGCACGTCGCACGGCGCGGGCGGCGTGTGAAATGCTCATCGGGTATGCGAGGGCGACAGGCGTCACCCCCCGCGAGCTGTGCGCTCTCTTTGAGATTCGCAACCCCATCATCATTGAGCGCATGGAGCGGGCAAGCCTGCCCATCAACTTGAACATGACGCCTATCGCCACTTCTCGGCCTTCCGCTACCCCTGATGGCGGGCGCCCTCGCCCTCGCGGCCGCGTCCTTCCGGCATGGATGACGGCACCCTCCCCTCGCCAGGCGCTGATTGACGCCGGTGTTCACGCCGTCATGGACGGCTTTGTTGATGCGCCTGAGTGGGTGCGTCTGTGAATGTGCCTCGCTCACCTCTGTTGAGTTCGAACTCCATTCATGCTTGGCAACAGCGTCAACATCTCGTTGACATTGCACCAATGTCAGCGTTGACTGGTTGAGTTCTTAGTGGTCGAGGTGTCGATCTGGGATTGGCCTAAGAGTGCAAGAAAAAATTGGTTGCGGGTGGGTTGCGTTCTGCCTATGTTTGTGATTGGTGGGATTGTCTGTTGTAATTGGGCGAACCTCCAACGAGGAAACAAATTGGTAACCCCAAGCACACATGAGGAACAAACCATGCAACCCATTACTGTTACGGGTGAAAAAAATCAGTAACTTTGTAAGTTTTTAAAAGCACGCCACAGGCGTGGCGAAAACTAACGAACCCGCCGAAATACAAAATGCACTTACAGTCCCAAAGCACAAGGCGACCTTGGGGAACTCAAATGAGCAACAGCTGTAACGAAACCAGCTGGCGATTCTGCAGCGGCAGGGGCTGCTGGGCTAGTGCGCAGGTTAGGGGAGCGGTGGTCCGGATCGCCCTGACCGACAAAATGGCGGCTGTGGCCGGAGGAGGAGGCGAAGGTCTAGCGAAGGTAAGTTTAATCGGTAACGATCGTCACCAGAAGCGTATGAAACGAAATGGCAAGATGACGTGTTGCCCGTCAATGATATGACAGTGAATTGAAATTTGGAGGCCCCGTTTGCCTTACGTGCATGGTTGAATATTTTTCATGCAAAAAATGTCTTGT